ATGATGCAAGCTTGGGTGAACACACCATTTACGATTTATGATTGACTTGGCAGAAGAATTCCTGCAGCAGGCTGCCATTACATCCTGCTGTAGACTGGTTGTCAACCAAGGCTATAAGAACCATATTTAATCCTAGAGAAGATGACTTGGTTTCAAACCCTTCTCCAGAACATATGTGCAAGAATTAATGTAATAACTACTCAACTATCTATACAATAAAATATTAAACTGAAATTATCTACAGGAATCTCTCGATTAGTGCAGCTAATGTGTACATCGGTAATTATAAAAAAAAAAATTTCAATTACTAGGTTAAGCTGAAGAATATTTTAATGTACTAATTGAGTATGATGCATGCACTAATCGAATTTTGATATATAAAAATTTTAGTGTTCAAATTGAAAACACATTAATCGAGGAATTCCTATACTTTTATTTAGTTATGACACTGCATTAATACTAAAAGAAAAAAAAAAAAGAAAAAAAACTGGTACATTAACAATGCAAGAGTTGTCGCCCCTTTTGTGTTCATTAAAAAACACAAAACAAGTAACTTAAAACTATTGCAGTCAGAAACAGTTTATTTCCCTTCCATAACAAAAACGTGATTTTCCTAAATTTTAAGAAAGTGGGCATGCAAGAAAGTTTAGCAGAAATAAGTCGTCCTTAGCAATTTAAAATGTATGTGTACTGGTTTTTAATCTGTAAAAACAAATAGGCAAAATCTTTTTTAGAAGAAAAAAAATATATATATATTGGTCATTGAAACATGGCAGTAAAATAAAAACAATTATTCCCAAATTAAAATACAATGTCATACTTATTCAATATTTACATCAAATACAAATGACAACATATAGAAACATTAATAAACACAAGCAAAAAAAAAGTATAGATATCCATGCAACAATCATAAAGAATAATAAGTAATATTAAAAAAAAAATTACTAAATCAGACAAAATATATTTGGAGATCACAAGTAAAATATACATTAGCATTCTTATATAAAACAAACAAAAAATAAAACATTTGATGAAATCTAATAAAAATGTCATAGATTTTCCCTTTTACACTAAAAGAAAAAAAAGGGAGGGGTTCTTTATTATTATAAAAGCAACAGAATTTATTACAATTTGATTACTGAATTAACATTTTCAATTTCTCTATTGTCCACAAGAAGTTCCAATATAATTTTTTTCAATTCAATGCAAAACAATTTTATCTTGAAGTTCACATAAGAAAAATCATTAAGATTTACAGACCCATATCTTCCTGGCATTAGTTTAAACTGATGCCTTTTTTTATTATTATTATTCACATAAATTGTGATCATTTTGCTTAAAATTTGTAGCTTCTTGATTCAAGATAAAATCTTGAAAATTTAATTTTCACTTTCCAAAAGTATAATTTATAATTGTAACTTAAATACACACACATATATATATATATATATATATATATATATATATATAAAATCAGACATCTCTATCGAATACTTCTGGCACCTAAAAGAATCAACTAAAACACCTACAGTAAAATGGAAGTTAATAAGAAAAGCTAGAATATGTAGGTCATTAAATGACCCATGTCCTTCGTGCATACATGGGAAACTATATATTACTAAGTTTATAAAAAATAAAAATTTACTGAATCAGAGAAATGAAATAGCTATTTTATGCCGTCATTGTCAAAAATTTTCCTTAAATAATATTTAAAAATAAATTTAAAAAAGTGCGATCAGGTAATATACATACTTATATTTAACATGAAAAATTAATTTTATATACTGTAAGTAATTCTATTATATTTACTTGTTTTTTCATAAAAAAAATAAAAAAATAAATTAAGTTTACTAAATCAGAGAAATGAATTAGCTATTTTTGCCGTAAGTGCCAAAAATTTTACTTAAATAATATTTAAATATAAGATTTAAAAAATCGTAATAGACATATACTTGATATGGAAAAACAATCTTACTTACTATAAGTAATTCTAATACATTTACTTCTATTAAATGAAATATAGTCTATAAAAACTAACAATGAAAATATTTTAAAGTTGTAATTAAAATTGTAGTTAATTAAAATGAATTCTAACCTAAACTTCTTTTAAATTGTAATTAAATAAATAAATAAAGTTTACTAAATCAGAGAAATGAATTAGCTATTTTTGCCGTAAGTGCAAAAAAATTTTACTTAAATAATATTTAAATATAAAATTTTAAAAATCGTAATATACTTGATGTGATAATAATTCTACAAACTGTAAGGGATCCTAATTACATTTAATTGTTCTTAAAACAAATATAGTATATTAAAAATTAAAAGTAAAAATATTTGAAATCGTAGTTAAATAAAAAGTATTCTAACCTAAACACCCTCCAAAAATCTTTAAATATACGAAGGAAAAAAATGCCGTAAGAATTTTTGCCATTAACAATATTTTTTAAAAATCCAGACGACATGCTTTTAACGGATGTTAGATTTCATTGAAAAATACATCCCTACACCTACCAAAACATAGCTAATAACTGATACATTAAAATATAGACATAATGAACACCCAGACACCCCTCGTCTAGTAAAATGAATTCATCTGTAACCTTGGAAACATGAATTATGATTTTAGCTGTGTCTTTAAAACCCAGTAATTTTAAAAGTTACTCCAAAATTCACTTGAGGATGAAATGGAACTAATGTCTTTAATTTAATTACAAAATTAAATTCAGGGCTTTTAGCTTCCATTTTTGAAACATGGTTAGAACTGTGTAGCGAAAAAAAAACATATTTTAAATCAATTAATTTTATATATATATATATATATATATATATATATATATATATATAAAATAAGATAAAAAGTCATCAGTTTAAACTGACACCACAAACATGGGTTAAGATATTTCGCTTCACTCATATTGCAAATAATTTACACAGATTTATAGATATAAAAAAAGTGACAGTCTCTCTTAACTCTTTGAGCCTTAACCACTGCTTTACCAGTGGTAGAGAAAAATGATGCCCGGCCACCAGTTGAACGGTGGGTAAAACCTTGTAATTATTTTTATAGCTACTGTGAAATATTACATACCAATTATTTATGAATTTTGACTCAGGAGCTCAGGCAGAAGCGTTAAAATTGTTCAGGAACGCAGGGGTCAAAGGCTTAAATCATCAGTTCATGAAATAAGATTTAGCCTCTCACCACAAACAACAGTCTTTATCCAAAATGATCCCCCTTCTAATCCCTCTCTGTATCACTCTTTTTGGCTCTCTGTCACTCTCTCTTTCTGTTTTACTATGTCCCTCTCTCTCTCCCCTTTCAGACACTTAACAGTCTGGGTTTAATAGGATTTTTAATTAGAAGATCATTATATTACAAAATTATTATAATTATTAAAAAGGGATTTTAATTTAAAAAAGTCAGTGGCTTTTATCTAAAATGACCCCTCCAGTCACACTCTTTTTGCCTCTATGTCTCTCTCTATGTCTCTCCATTTCCCTCTCAGATGCTCACCAGAGTCTGGGTTTAATAGGATTTTTTATTAGAACATAATCCATTTTTATTATATTGCAACATGATTATAATTATTAAAGAAAAATTTTAATTTCAAAAGGTCATTTACACATCAGTGGCGAATTTTCGTCAACAAATCTTTAGGTCACAAAATATGATTTAACCTCTCACTACAAATAAATGCCTTCATCTAAGATGATTCCCTCCCTCCCTCCCTCTAATCACTGTCTGTGTCAGTCTTTTTGTCTCTCTACTTCCCTCTATTTATTTTTTTACTCTCTATGTCACTATTTCCTTCTCACTGTGATACCAAGCATGACACACAACATATATTAGGTACAAGCTTATTAATATATAGATATTGACACAGTCGTACAAGGTTTCCACAATTAAGATTATGATCAATGTAAACTCCATGATTTTGTCAATAGCTGTATAGTAAGTGCTACAGAAGGGCTACATACAGTTTTAAATTCAGTTGTCCTTCTCTTTGTATGGTTGCCAACCATTCTTCCCAGCTATTTAATCCACAGATGGGGAGAGAAGAGCTGAATTCATACCTTTGCACACTGAAATAACATAACTGGAAATGATAATGTTTCACCATGCATGACCAAATATATTTCTTCCTTTGGTGCCAGGCATGATGCATGCTTGGGCAATCATGTCTTTTTCAATTCATGATGGTCTTAGCAGAAGAATTACTGCAGTAAGCTGCCATTACTTCCTCCCTATCCGGCTATAGGACCCAGTCTTTCCTGCTATTTAAACCATAGCTGGGAGGGGAGGAGATAGATTAATACCTTTCTGAAGGGTATTTGTACATAAAGGAATTTAAACTTGGATTTCTGATGTCGGCCATAAGATATCATATTAAAGACATTTAAACAAGTCATGTAATTGGAAATACTAGTATAAAAAAGGGGGAAAGAAAAAAAGAGAAAGAAAGAAAAGAAAAAAAAAAGAAAAGAAAAAAAGGAAAAAAAAAAAAAAAAAAAAAAAAAAAAAAAAAAAGGAAAAAAAAAGAAAAAAAGAAAAAGGAAAAAAAAAAGGAAAAAAGGAAAAAAAAAAAGGAAAAAAAAAAAAAGAAAAAGAAAAAAGAAAAAAAAAAAGAAAAAAGAAAAAAAAGAAAAAGAAAAGAAAAGAAAAAAAAAAAAAGAAAAAAGGGAAAAAAAGGGAAAAAAGGGAAAAAAAAGAAAAACGCACCTGTATATAAAAATAAGTTTTCAAATGCTTTTCAATTAATTCATGGACAACTCTGAAACTTAACTGTTATTGCTTTTTTTATAGACCACATAAAAATAAAGAAAAAACCCTAATCAAAGCATCAACAACTCCTAAAAGATAATTTAGATTTTATCAAATATGGCATATAAGACAAACAAAAAAGTTTTTTTTATTTTTTAAAAATGAAAAAACTTTGTCAAAAATTTAATATCGATGCTTGAAATTCTGAAGTAATTTCAGTTTAAATAAATTCTACTTACATTGAAAAAGATAATCTTCAGTGTTCTGATCAGGATTGTCGCTGCCTACAACATCAAATGGGGAACGACCTGCCAACATCTCAAACATTAACACACCGAGGGCCCACCAATCAACACTGAAATCTGAAATCAAGTAATTTTAAAATATTACAGAAAAAAATGAAATAACATACAATGGTAATCTGCAAAAAGTGAGAAGCTGAAGAATAGAAAAATTTAAATTCTCTAAAAATGAATTTATGGAAATAGACAAGTGAAAATGAAAAAAAAAAAATAAGATAAAATAAAATCTAAAAAAAAAAAAAAAAAAAAATGTAGATTTTTGGGAAATAATTTTTTTAAATTAGTCTGCTTTTAGACCTTCCACAAGCTGTGATATTTATCAGAATTAAAAAAAAAAAAAAAAAATATATATATATATATATATATATAGATTTGTTTTTTTTTTTATTGATTTAGAAGAAGTCAGTCAATTATGTGCCATGTGTGATACACTTAGGCGATCATGTATCTTTCTTGTTTTTTTTTTTTTTTTCTTTTTTAATATTTAAACAGGTCCCTAGAACTTACCAGATAACCTGATGGAGGTTGGAAATGTGACAGTTATGCTCGTCACTACTGGTGCACATAAAACAGTTCTGAAAACTTTGTAAAATGATTAGCAAGTAGAAAAGGAACTGAAAACCTTCTGACATATTCTATCATCTAAACTTAATTTACTTCTTTTATATTCTTCAGGACATGGACAATCATGACTCCCCACAACTTCCTATCTTTTGTAGTTCTAAACAATTCCCTTCCAGCTCCAGGCTTTCCAACGAACATTATTCTTCTAATATTCAAATGCAATATCAATTGCTATCGACTGTCCTGCTGATTACTCTTTTCCCTACCTGCTCATAAGTGTTTCTGTTCAGAATTCTCCTACACCTTGTAACCCCTTGCATTTTGCTTTCCATTTTCCCTAAAAGTTCCTGGTCTCTCACATGTCCTGCCTACAGGATCCTCCACATGTCCTGCCTACAGGATCCTCCACATGTTTCTGTAGAACCAGATTTCTGTTGCCTCAAGGACAAAAAATGTGACATGGATAGCTGAAGGCACATTGGAATAGTGAAAGAGGTCTCCCAGAAGCTAAACAAAGTGTGAAGTGACAGAATGCCTTAATTTACTATATATATATATATATATATATATATATATATATATATATATATATATATATATATATTGTAGCCTTTGGTCTGTCTGTTAGTTATCAATCTCCTCCTAGGGTTTTGGAGATAAAAAATAACCATACATATTCTGAAACTACATTACCCAGGGCACTTCGATAAGTATATTTCATTTTGATCAAAGGGTGTTCAGGCGGTGTGGGGATTGTGTCTATCTCCAAAACCCTAGGAGGAGTTCAATAACTAACAGACAGACCGACCAAGGCTACAAAATATATATTGTATAGTAAATTAAGGCATTCTGTCACGTCACACTTTGTTTAGCTTCAACTACACTAATTCAAAATAAAAAAATGTTAAGTAAACCCCCATCAATACAGGAAAGAGCAATAATAGCTACTGGACTTGCGAATCATATTCTCCTAAAAAATTGTTTTACTAGAAAGATTTTCAAAATGTCAATAAAAAAAAATAGCACTGGCTTCTCAATCCCACTATATACACAGCATCACCACATTTTTGATAAAGATTATACTTTAGTACAGTTTGTGGGGATTTATTTTACTTGCACTACATGTTGCTGTAATGTATTCCCTTTTCATTGCACATCAGAGTTTGTTTCAATTTGTTTTATATGGAAGATACACATCAAAGCAACTAACCTAACCAAAATGCTGCAAATAATTTTCAATACTCAATTTGGAAATTTTGAGTATGTTGCTTATTCTCAAGTAATGCTATCAACCTGAACAGGTTGAGCCAAGTGTGAAGCATTACTCATTGACTAGTCTCCAGTATTAATATTTACAAACCATTTTCAATATGCTTGATTATCCAACATGGCTTCTTTAAAAAAGAAGTTTTTCTGCAGGAATTGCATTTTTACTTTTTTTAAAATACATAAAAGTATGATATTCCAAAATTGTATTTGATATTCTTTCAGCTTCAAAGTCAGAATCAATAAACACTAATTTTGACAATTAAAAAAAATTATACTGATATGACAGCTGTCAAAATACAATGAAATACAACTTTTCAATGTGATTAAGCAAATCTTAAAGCTTCTAATTCTAACTATTGACAAATATGGAACAAAGATTCTGGTCAATCAAAAATTTCAAAACACCTACATGGTGTGTTACTTACCATATGGTTCTCCTCGGAGTATTTCAGGGGCAATATAATTGGGTGTGCCACAGAATGTATTTGTCTCTCCACCAAATAAATTTTCCTGTTTAAATAAAAGAACAAAAATGAAAAAGAAAAAAATTAAAACTTTTCTATTGTTGAAGTAATCATTTTTAAATAATGGACTATATATATATATATATATATATATATATATATATATATATATATATATATATATAAGAGGAGAGAATTCAGGTAGAACTCAATGTCCAGGACAGAGTAAGAATATAATATAAAAGGCCCCTATGGAATATTAGTGTTTGAGCCTTTTATATTATATATATATATATATATATATATATATATATATATATATAAGTGAATATACATAATATCCCATGTCGATAGCATAACTCAGAGTTTCATGCAAACACGCAATTTTCAGGTACAAAATACTCAGTGACCATTACACATTATGAAATTTGTGTTCTCATGGTGTTGATTTAAAATTGTTTTAAGACTTATTATTGTTGTCTAAAATATTATAATTATTTGTAATTTATATTATTAAAATTGTTAAGCTCAAAAGATGAAAAAAATTTTTTTTTTAAATTTATTTCTTTTAAATTTGAATTTACATATACACACTTTGTATAAAGAGGAATAACTCCCTTTTTTGCATTAAAAAAAAAAACTATCGTTAGTTGTAATAGAAATGATTTGTGTTTATTAAAATATATTATTAAAGTAATGACTTATGGAATAAACTTAGCTCTCATGATGTTAATATAATTGTAGGTTAAGATTTTATATCTAATGCATTTGGAAACTAGCCTTACACTTAAAAAGGTGAAATTACTTGTACACATAAATTAATCAAATATGAAATTATAGATGTGTATAGATATATAAAAATGCTATTAATAATGCATTAGACATATAGTCTTGACCTATAATTATGTTATTCTATTTACATGGGTGACTTTCGCTGGATTTCACAATTAATTTTCATTATTCCCAAATTTATTTCAAAGCTATAAAATTGTAAGAAAAATCAGCAAAAAAAAAATCATTACTCAAGATTGAGTCCAGATTGAGCCCACAATTTGCACACAGAGTTCAAACTGAAAACATGGACAATTTTGAAACACTAATTTGAGAACAGCATTTTTTTTTTTTAATCTGAACATGAGGGATTAAAAGTTAAAGAGTTGTCTCCCTGTAACTGGTTTTATCAGTAGGAGCCAATATGCTGGAATTCAAAAACAATCACAGTAAAGAAAACTTGGAAATCCAAAATTTCAGGATTGCAGATCTGGATCCAGCCCGGAATATTTTTAATTTCCTCATGGAGTCAGCCTGATTCCAAAATGGTATGATGTGTTGAGCTACGGCCTCAAGAAGTAAAGTTGAAAAAGTGTGACACAATAACATTCATATTTATTTTATATATATATATATATATATATATATATATATATATATATATAGATAGATAGATAGATAGATAGAGATAGAGAGTGCAATGGATAAATTGTCACCATTTTATATTTTTAATTTCATGTATGCGTGTTCTTTGTTTTTGACTGCACACTATAGTAGGGTCAGTTGGGCACAATCTGTGAGAAAAAGAACACCATGACAATTCAAACTACCAGAAATTTAGAAACAGCATGCTGTACTGCTTGGCATTCACATTGAAGCTCCAATATGAACATTTCAGAGTGTTTGAGTGTCAATCTGAGAACTGTACAGAGGATTTGGAAAGAGTTGGATGATATATCCACTCAATATCATGGTCTTTGGAGTGATCAATAGTGATGTTGACATTATGCCTATATTCATCTTCCCACAGAGTTTCAGACTCAATACAGAGACCTACATCAAGTGCCTTAAGGAGAGGATGGCTGCTGGAAGATCCTATGTCTAGCAAAAGGACTCTGCACTATGCCACATAAGCAGGAGAATCTAGTCATGGCTGTCAGACAATTTCTGAAATCACTTCACCCTTACAACTGGCCACCTAACCCCCCAGACTGCAACCCCTTTGATTATTATGTGTGGGGTGCAGTTGAGCGAGGGAACAACAAACTCCTTGTAACACCAAAGATGAACTGAAGGCAAAGGTTATGGCAGCATTCACCAATTTAAACGAAAAGACTATCCCTGAAGAGTTGTAAGAAATTCTGAAGTCATCTGGAGGCCTTGGTTGATTTTACTGAATAAATTTATTCTTTAGTATTTCAAGAAATTTTTGTGTAACTTTGGTAAATATATTTGTTAAAATGAGATGTCAGTGTTATTTTCATTTTTGCATAATTTAGATGACAATTTATCCATCACACCCTCTGTGTGTGTGTGTGTGTGTGTGTGTGTGTGTGTGTATATTATTAGTTGTGGTCAGAATTATTCAACTAATAATTTTCCTTTCCATTCTATCAGAAATTAACCATTTTCTACCAGGCCTTAATTTATTGTCAACACAATAGGTCTCGTACTTCTTGATAATACTACGAATTGTCAATCTGGGAACATTTAAACGCTTTGAAAGTGTTGTATATCCATCACCTTGTTTGTACAAATCAACTATCTTCATTCAAAGCTTCTTGTCAAGTTCAGCCATCTTTGCCATAATTGGAGAACGAATGGGTTATTGTGATACACGGCACTCATATATTGTCTTCTTTATTACCTTATAGAATGTTATAGAATCAGGTCAATACTATTTCATTTTCAGAAAGTGTTTTTCATTAAATGCCAAATTAAGAAAAAAACATTACAATCACTATAGAGCAATATTATTTCTTAATTTCCATGGGGGTGGGGGCAAATAATTTTGGACTGCATCAATTTTCAGAAAAATCTATAACTATGAATATAATAGATCAAAACTTCTAAAAATTTCACAAATTATTCCAAACTAAATACAGAATCAACTATTTATGGTAAATTTAATAAGCACTAGCAAATGTTTGTATTTCATTAGAAAATATGCAAATATTCAGTAGGTGCAAATAATTCTGTCCACAACTATATATAACACACACAAACATGTACACAGTCCAAAAATATTAAGACATCACTTCCCTGTGTCTAGAATTTTCACACAATCTCTCTCTCTCATATATATATATATATATATATATATATATATATATATATATATATATGAGAGAGATTCCAGTAATCTTAATTTTTAATTATCAGTGCTTCTTGCCTTCTTTAAATTTGAAACAAAGTGGAGGGACCATAGCCATGGTTATTTAATGTTTTTTAATTAACTGATTTTCATAAATTAACAGTAATTATTATAATCACAATAACAGTTCATCTATCTGGACTCTTGCCAAGACATGAAAATAAATTAGCTTGTAATCATACTCATGTGCTAAAATCAATTCTCAACATATGGAAGGATTGCTCCGTGATGTTCTATTTACCAACCTACCTAGAAAGGTAGGATATGATACAAGGCCATTTTTAATGTGGGCTGCCTGTCCCTGTACATATGAGCCAAGGACAAAACCAGTGCCTCCATGCAAGAAATGTCATGCTGGCATTGGTATCCATCAACCTTTACTCTTTAGTGGAATGGGAGAGGTGTTACTGCAGGGCTAGAATCTCCAGGGACAGGCATCCTTCAAAGATTTTTACATGAACTCTTTGAAGACTAGAAACCTTGCCAAGAGGTGAAAAACAGATACTACACTCATCTCTTCCACAGTGATGGGACATGGCACAAGACCAGTTTAAAGTGGAGAGCCCAAGCGCATGCACATAAAGGCCAAAAATTGCCCAGTCCCCACAACCAACATCATGCTGGCTTCAATATACCACCAACCTCCCTTTTTCAGTGCACTGAAGGAGGTGCTGCCACAGGGTTCAAATCCTTGGGACTAGGCATCCTTCATCTATTTGTTGTTTTTGTCTAAAGATAGAAACATAATTGAGAGATAAAATGTAGTTTGTCAGCCCCAAAACAAATACTGCTCTTAGTATTTACTTGCTGTCCCATGATTGCAGGATGGGACAGAAAGTTAATTAAATGTGGGGAGCCTGATTATATGCACGCAGGCTAACCCTACAAAAGTCTGTATGGCAAACTGGCTTTCATATCAGACAAAATAAAGAAAAAAAGGAGACACAGGTATATCATAGAAGCAAAGGAGGGCTTATTTGTGATGTGCTATTTAATATACAAGATTGTTTTTAATGTGGGCTGCCTGTCCGCATACATATGGGCCAAGGACAAAACTTGCCGAGTTCCTACAACTACCGATATGCTGGCATTAGTATCCATCAACTTTCCTTCTTCAGTGCAATGGGAGAGGTGTTGCTGCAGAACTGGAATCCACAGAGTCAGGCATCACTCAAAGATGGTTTGCATGAACTGTTTGAAGACTAGAAACATACCCAGTCTGCGAACACTCAGTTGCACTGGCATCAGCATTACTACTGATCCCAACTCTTTATTGCAGTGAGGGAGATATTGCCATGAGTAGTGGTTCCCTGAGACCAAGCACCTCCCAATATTTTTTTCTTCAGTTGTACTCTGCCTGAAGTCAAACTAAATTGTGCTGTCTGAAGACAGAAACACAAATGAGAGATAAAATGTAATTTATCTGCTCAAATGCAGATACTACACTTTGATCCCAGCCCAAAGGCCAGGAAAAGGCAATGCACGTCTTTGGAAACAATCTCATGGATATAACAGCATTGTACACTCTTTGAAGATGTATGATGATCAACTCATTCAAGATGCCGAATGCAATATGGATGAATTGTCAAATGCCATAGATGTCCAGAAATGATAACATCATGAAATCAAGCAAATCTGAGAAAGCTGATGATAATAATCATATTTATAATACAACAGATAGAAGTATTTCAAGTCTGAAAAATAATATTATTACATGGCTATTTATCATTGTTAAAAATAGACCATGAAATGCCTGTTTCAAAACTGTATAAAAATCATGCTATTGGAGAGAGAAAAAAAAAAAAAAAAGGAAATATTCATTTTATACATTTTTCATATAAAGACCTGGTTATTTCCCCGCCTTATTCGTCACATATTTCAAATATTTCCTTTAACCTTTAGCACTCTGCATAATTAATATTACTTCCCTTTCCATTTCATTTTTTTTCCAGGCCTCTCAATTGTTTTTTTGTTGCCATAGCAGGATATGACAATACAACTATGAAATTCAAACACACTATTGTTCAGGGATCAGGGTCACCTTCAGTGACAGGATAAACTTTTTGTACAGTAAATGAAGTCACAGAGTGATAAAGGTTAATTTTCAAATTGTAATCCTTAAAATTAAAGTAAATTGTTTTTTCTATACTTTTAAAAACCAAACTGAACAAAGAAAATGTCATAATGCTACCATTTATTAGTATTGATGTTTTTATTAGTATTATTGTACTAATTTATTATTAGTAGTAGTATTATTGTATTAGTTTATTATTATTAGTAGTAGTATTTGTTTTCAGTTATTTTTTAAAATTTTTTGTTCTTTTTTATTATACTATTTCAGTCACTTTCACATGCTCCAACTGTTAAGTAACCATTACAGATCAGGAATAAATAAGCTTCCGACTGCTTAAGTCGATTCTAGTATAACCCTTATTACACTCAAGGGATAGGACCCCAAAATCTATTAGATGGAGGAATAAGGTAGCAAGGTAAATAGTTGTATCAACTATATAAATAAGTTGGGAACAGATGACATCAGGAAGGTTGTTGATGAAAATAAAGAACAGAGTTAGTCCAAGAATAGAGGATACCCTGCATTAATGCAATGTGGTCTCGGGGAGTGAGCATTGAAGACCAATTTTATTAGACAGTTTGTTAAGATTGAATCAAATCAAAAAAAATGGCCAGAAACATCATAACCCTCCAACTTGTTAAAATGAGCAGCATGTTAAACCCTGTCAAACACATTTGAAATATCTAAAAGCAACAGACCAAGTTTCAATATTCTTATTTAAAGTTTTCAGCATCACCATGAATTCAGATAAGCATCTTTCTTTGCACTGCATCAATGTAAACATAACTTCCATGGCAGTCCTGAATGATAATAGATACCGCTACCAAAAGTACAATATTGAATACTTACCGCTTCTAAGTAAAAATATAAGAAATTGATTCATTTGGACAAGATGTCTCATTACTTTTGCTAATGATTTTATACTAAAAAAGAACTTACTTTGCACATGCCATAATCAGTAAGTTTGATATGTCCTTCAGCATCCAGAAGTACATTGTCCAGTTTAAGATCACGGTACACAATACCTGAAAATAGACAAAATGTGTCGATATTAATAAGCACAGAAATTACAAAGATCAATACAAGATCAATATATATCGATCAGCATTCAAATCGATCTCTTCTAGGAATCCAGAACAAATACAACATCTATGTCAATCATGCTGTTCTACAACTTTAGAAATAATTGATTTCCCAAGTATGAGACAAAGACTGCATCATTTGTAAAATATTTAATGAAAACCTACAATCAACAGCTTGCAAAACCAGCAGACTATAGAAATAAAACAAGTTCAGTCTGAATTTACAAAAAGAATTTACTATTATTGTACAACAACCTATTCAAATTAATGTCCCCATCTTGGTTGTTATAGTAACAACATTTCGATTGTATCCACAAGCCTTCTTCAGGTGGATATCATATTCAGATAGAAGAATGAGTATTTACCTTCATGGATTGAATAAAAAGTTTGGCTTCTAATTCTCAAAAGGCAGAAGGGTACAACAGTCAAAACACCGAGATGGTAACGACCAAGATGATATTTGTCTGAATAGATGATAAGAGTAGATAGGTTTACCTATCACACAGTTCACACTCCTAGAGAGTAGGCGGCTTATCCTTTGTTTATTGTTTAGGATTAGGTTTCTGGTTCATTCTCTTAAAGTTTTCTCATTCTTTTTCACTCCCAGTAACCCCTTGCATCTTAGCAGCATTACTGCCTTGCTTGGGGTGAAATGATCAATGTAGAATTATTCTGCAAGAAATGTGGTAGTGATGAGTGTGGCCATTTCTATACAGGAAACATATGGCATTTGTTAATTAAACTCTGACTGTTGTCTGAAATTTATAAAAAAAAATTTTTCTTCAAGTGTTTTTTTCCAGAAATTGCCCTTTTCAAGTCCACTGTTCTTGTCTTTAATGATGAGGGTTTCTTTGCAAAGTTTTTGTTTTTTCCTTTTGGTAATGTTTTCACCAAATAATATTTCTTTGAAAACATTTCATCATTCAGTCTCAGAAAAAAAAAAAATATATATATATATATATATATATATATATAAGAGAAAGAATAGATGGAGTAAAAATCCACAGTTTGTGGCATTTACTTTTTTTTTTTTTTTTTTTTTTTTAAAAAGTGCTCAATACAAAGTAGAGCAAAAAACATTATGTTTTTATTATAATTGATTATAATAAAAACATTCTACATCACTACACAAAAGCTTTTATGTTTCAATACTATGATTATACTTCCTGAGGCAATGGTAGATAATTTGTAATAAAAATGATTTATTAGGGAAATTTTAAAACAAATTGTTACCCCTTTTCAGAAGTTAAAGTGGGAGCTAAAAAATTAAAAATATACTTGTGAGCATGTCTAGATTAACAAATTAAAAGTCAGATCTATAATAAAATAGAAAAATAAGGTCAGAGGGTGGAGGTGGATGGGTTATTTTTTTCATGTCAAGATAAACTGACGCTTGAACATGCCATCCAATGATCGCAGGAAACATGTCAGCGACAAATGTATTATGATGGAGCCAAGTATGATGTTCTGATTTGTTGAAGTAAAGTTTTCAGAAACAAATTTAATCATAGTATTGGAACATGTAAGCTTTTGTGTAGCAATGAAAAATGTTTGCTATTTACATTATTCGGACTATTGTCCTCATCTTTGTCACCATATTTATTACAATGTTTCAGCTATTGTACATTCTGGCCTTCTTCAGGTGGTTGGAATGCCGAACTGAACCCTTTATTTCACTCATTGGGGTAGACTATTCTAGTTCCACATGCCACGTTTAATGGATGTCAGTTATCAGTTATCTCCTGTTAATTTCCCTCTGAAAGTTCTCCACTGCATAAGCCAAGTATTGAACTCACACTATAAAACCAACACCTATCTAACCAACACCTTTATCCACTGTTCCATGTGTCCTTGAGTATGAATTTCTGGGTATTATATAAATAATGTCTTCAGCAACAACCTGAAGAAGGCTGGAGCGTAAAATGGCTGAAACGTTGTGATAAATATGGCAGCAAAGATGAGGACAATAGTCTGAATAATGTAAATGGTGTACATAATACATCATCTCAGAAATATAGACAGATGTAAAATGTTGTTATTAGACTATTATAATAAAAATAGTATATATCACAGATTTTTAGTGGTACAAAACATAAGTATTGCTTTAAAAGCATTAAACTTAAGATTATGAGGCATAATAAGGGATTAAAAAATAAAAAGGAGGATAAAAAAACAACTGTTTTTTTTCATCAGGATAATTACAGGTAAAATATAATAGACATGAAATATGCACTAGTCAATGGGGAGAAAAAAAAATATATTTGAACTACTAAAACTGATCACAGAAAGGCCCAGCAGACACTCTCACTGCATGCACAGTGAGGGCCTGTGGGACAATGTAAACAGACTCCAGCACTTTCAAATGGAAAAGTGAGTATGCATTGGCTAGAACAGAAAACCAATCCATACTAAATTCCATAACACACTTTCTGCTATTTATCAGGTGTTTGTAAACTGAGTAACAATACGTATTGCAGATGAGGTCATTTTGTTGTAAGGTGTGGTTCCTAATTTTCAATGGGTCATGTTGTTTAGTTCTAGTATCAAGCTGTTGGGTAGTTCTCCCTATGTAACTGGCACCACAGTTACATTCATACTTATACAATACAGAACTTATTTGAAGAGGGGGGAGAAAATACTTACAACAAGATAGAATAGATTTATTATTTACATTGATCGGACTATTGTCCTCATCTTTGTCACCATATTTATCACAAGATTTCGGCCGTTGTACGCTCCTGCCTTCTTCAGGTGGTTGGAATGTCGAACTGAACCCATTATTTTGCTCACTGGGGTATACTGTTCTAGTTCCAGTTAATTCAACATCATCACTTGATAAGACACTGGAGGTGTTGAAAGAAAATGGCTATTTTTGTAGTGATTTTATAACATATTTATGTTATAATATTAAATAAATAATTATATATATATATATATATATATATATATATATATATATATATATATTCAAAAAATTTCGCTTGAAGATGGAACAGAGCTTAGTACTTTAATTCAAATAATTATACTGAAATTTTCGGCTCTTGTTTTGAAACATGAGAACTCTTATGTAGTGTGTTGGAATCATATTTTTTTTAAATATAATATATATATATATATATATATATATATATATATATATATATATATATGTGTGTGTGTGTGTGTGTGTGTGTGTGTGTATATATATATATATGCTTTAACAAATGTTTTAGCACTGACAAAGCAAATGGATATTATCCAGTTGGGGAGGGGGTGAAATGGCCATCAAAAATAGGGTACAATTGAGTTTCATTTTTTTATATATATATATATATATATATATATATATATATATTTTGAAACTGCATCATTCACACCCCACACACAAAAAAAAATATCCAAAAAATAACAGCTAGAACATGTATCATCAAAATATTATTAACTAGGAGAAATGAACTTGGGTTAACAAAATGTCCAGGCAGAGAAACCAAGACAGAAACGGAAGGAGAGGAAAAAAAAATCAGGAAGCTCAAAATAATAGCAAGGAAATTTATACTGATAAGAAATTAGCTTACCTCGTTCATGGAGAAAGTTTAAGGCCAGACAGATTTCAGCTGCATAAAATCGTGCATGATCCTCTGGAAGTCTCCGCTGCTGTTGCATGTGGAACATGAGGTCACCACCATTTACAAATTCTATCACAAAGAACAACCTGACAAATGGAACAAAAAAAAACTCAGTGAAAGGAAATTTGCTTTTCAGTTTAAAATATTGAAGACTTCAACTTTAACCAGGATCTAAGGAATTGAAAGGTTTTTATTTTCAGTCTTTGTAACAACTGCAAATATGAAGCTGCAATCATCTTCATTACAATAAGAAAATGTACATTATTATTATTCTTTTTTTGTTTAACCCTGACGTGCCAAAAGTCATGGAGTAAGTGGTGAGTATCATGTCTGACACATGGTTGGTGTTTATAAAGTTTGTTTTCTGGTAATTTGTTCCCTATTGTTTGTTATTTGCTTTCTATGCAGTCATTAATTTTCTTTTTTAAAATCTGTATACAAAAATTTTTATGTTAGTTATTTCTATGTTACAGTTTTTTTTTTTCTCATGACCCTTTATGTCTTTATGCCAACAAGTCAAAAATATGGACAGTGATTATAATAGAATGATTACGGGTCCATACACACACACACATATATATATAACTGATAACAGAAGCCATTGGTTTATACCGTTTTCACTCTCGTGTCATCATGTGCAACGTCAGGAGCTATGGTGTGATTTCCGTTTCCAGTGTCTCATATGCACAAGTTTGTTGTTGCTCGGAAATCTTCCATGTAAACAAAAACAGACAATCATCATTTTTTTGTTCGTGTATTGTTTAATATAAAGTAATGTAATTGTCATCTTTAATAATGACTTCTGTAAGGCGAAAGATTAGATAGGATTAAAAAATATGTATCAATAGTGATTTTCTTTCTTTCTTTTAATGATAATGCTATTAAGCTTATCAGACGATATGAAAAGAACTTACATAAAATAAATAGATATATATATTTTCTGTTGTTCCTGCTATTCATCTCAAGGTTCTCGACAAAGTCCAAAAACGATACACAATGTGATCTGTCCTGACTTGGGGTCTTGACTCCAGTCACTTTCTCTACATTATAATGTGACTTCCCTCTGTCTTTTCTATAAATATTTTCATGGCATCTGCTCTGACAAGCTATTTTCATTGGTGCCCCAACTGCATGAATTTAAGCATGCTCCTAGGTTGGCATCTTGGTCCCACCCTTTTACTGTCGAAACAGTTAAATATGACTTTCTCTTCTACTCTAACAGCTTCTTCTCTTGCACTTCCCAACAGTGGAACTCCCTTCCTCTTACTTGCTTCCTTGATAACCATTATCTTCAAAAATTTAAATGTAATGTCAATTGACATCTTCTGTTACCTTGATCCCCATTCTTTTTTTATCCTCCTCCATTACTCTTTTTATCCTTTTCTCACTCCATCCCACCCACCTATACCCAGTGTACTCGTGACACTCCTGGCTTGCTTGGGGTGAAATGCTTAAAAAATAAATAAAAAAATAAAAATAAATAAAAAATATATATTAAATCAATTTCATGCCATGCAAGAGAGTAAAGCCACCGAGACACAAGGGGTTACTGAGTGTGGAAGAATGAAGAACAGAAACTTTACTAATGAGCGTGAAGAGAAAAGCGTAATCTAAAACTCCATTCTTTATGCTATAAGAACACATTTTTGTAATTTCACCCGGTTATAAATCTCCAGCATGTCTGCAATGTTAGAATGGTTAGTTATTTTTTTTTGTTTTTTTTTTATAGTATTTTAAGGCAACCAGAGAGGATAGGGAGTCTAGAAACATCCCAAACAGCTGCTAAAGCCATCCTCAGGGCTTCCAGTTCCACTGTAAAACCAGAAATATGTAGCAGTCTTGTTACAACCATCCATGACAGTAACTCCAGATTTTTTTTTTTTTTCCTTTTTTAAATCTTTTCACCCTAAGCAAGGTGACAATGTCACTAGAAAGTGTGTGTGGGGGGGGGGCTACAGTGAAAATGAAAGTAGATAAGAAGACTGAGAATGGACAGATTTGAGGAAAGGATAAAAAAATGGTTTCAAGAAGACAGAAGATGGCAATTGACATTGATTAAAATTTTTTTAAATTGTAGGGAAGCAAGAAATTGGGAGGGAATTTCACAGGTGGGAAGTGCGAGAAAAACTCAGAGTACAAGTGGCAGTTGCATCAAACTAGTTTAACAGTAAAATGGTGAGACCTAGATGCAAATCTAGTAGCACACTTAAATTCATGTAGTCGAGAGAACAAAGGGAAAAAAAAAGCTCACAAGGACAGTTGCCATAAAAATACTTGTAGAAAAGACACATCATGTCAGTGAAAAAGTGACTGGAGATATGATGCTTGGTCAGACTTTGTTGGATTTTCTCAAGAATCATAAGATATATAGTAGGATTTAGATAGGCTATTTTATCGGTACACTAACCCCATCGGTCATTACGTGCTGAAGTGGAAAGTTTTAAGATTTGTCTTTTTTTTTGTGTGTATTTTGCAGACAAATTCTTTTATGAGTTGTTATTATATAAGGGTATGGATGTTATTCAGTTTTAGTTGCATTTTGTAGCCGGGTGTTTATTCAGTAGTTTTATATTTTAGGGTAGAGTTGTTACTTTTAAGAATTCTAGAATGGCTTTGGGTCCATCATTCTCAAAGAGGGCCCTAAGGTTGGATACATTGGAAAATTATTTTTGTATAGGTGCCAGTTTTTTGCAGTTAATTAAAAAATGTTTGACAGTGAGGTCTTCATTTTTTAGGAAGAAGGAGTGGGTTATGTGGATGTATCTGATTTTGATTCTTGTAAGTGTGACATCTTTCCTTGATTGTCTGGTATTATGATGTTATGCAGTCACAATATTGATATAGTCATTTGAGTGCACCTACCATGACTTTTGCCGTTTGTGTTTGTATACCATTGGTTGAGGATGTAAAAGTTAATTGTAGTTTTCAAGTCTGTAAAGAAAATCTTTGAATTTCATGGTGTTCATTGAGAGGGATTCCTTGGCTGCCTTATCAGCCCATGTACAGCAGGAGCATCAGACCATATATGGCAACAGGATTCAATGCACAGACGACCATCTGTATAAATTGCTCTTTAAAGCTTGTAGAAAATAAAATGACCTGACTGATTGATTTATTTTTTTAACAGCACATCAACTCCTTATGGGTCATTTAATGCCGTAATTTAATTTTCTTGGAAGCTTTGAAGTAACAAAAATATCATACATGTTATTCTACTTTCACAATTGAAAACATGGTAGATGATACTCAGCTTTTCTGCATATACGTGTTTGTGTAGATATAATTATTAGAGGCAGTGATATGAGTTTTATGCTGTGGTTTTGTTGAAGTTATATTTATACAGTATGATTTCTTAAAAAGAAATTGTAAGATGATATATGGATTATTGTCCTGAAAGAGTTCTCTTATGTGGGTTGACATATTTTTGGTAATTTTACTATTAATAGATATTGTTAATGTTTATATAAAAAATATATTGCCGGTATTTTTACTATAGAAATCTATTTTTATACTTTCATGGGGTTTTGTTTTTGTTTGGGTGAGGGTAGCTATTTGCCCATAGCTGGGACACAAACAAGTGCTGGGTCAGTGTGTACATGGGAATAACAGCAATTAAGTGCTGTTCCACGCTCCACAAAACCTCCTGTCAAAAGCCCTGCTGTCGGATGTAGTTTATTGTCATTTGAGTTTAGATAAAAGGCAACAAATATAAAACAAAAAGAAGACCCAAGCAGTGGTGTAAAAAAAAAAAAAAAAAAGACTAGTTAAAAAAAATTAATAATGATACTCACCGACTCAGAGATTGAAAACAAGAATGCAACCCAACTAAGAAAGGGTAATTTGTAGCTGTTTCAAATACATGCTTTTCAGTATTAATCCAATCAATGTCCTAAATGAATAGAAAAAAAAAATACCATTAGTATATGTATATCATAATATATGAAGAGTTAAGACTTCAATTTAAGCTACAATTAGGAATGTTAAAAGAAAAAGCCCCAGATGCCAAATACGAATCAGAGATGTCAACATCCAACAATACAGAAGTTTAAATAACTGGGAAGTGTTTAGATAGAAAATGGAAAATGCGATACTGAAATCTGAATGCACATCAAATTAGCAAAAAATGCATTTCAATACTAAACAAAATACTAAGAAACAGGAGACTTCATTATAAAATAAATAAAAGTGTGCTGAATTGCAACATCATACCAGTTCTCTTGTATGGCAGTGAATGTGGGACAATCTCACCACAAATAAAGAGAAAACTGAAGGCAGCAGAAATATGGTTATACAGAAGGCTATTGAGAATTCCATGAATGAAGGAAGTGTTAACAAAAATGGTAATGGGAAAGAGAAAAACTTTGCACTCGGAATGGGAAAGAGAAAAACTTTGCACTCGGAATGGGAAAGAGAAAAACTTTGCACTCGGAATGGGAAAGAGAAAAACTTTGCACTCGGAATGGGAAAGAGAAAAACTTTGCACTCGGAATGGGAAAGAGAAAAACTTTGCACTCGGAATGGGAAAGAAAAACTTTGCACTCGGAATGGGAAAGAGAAAACTTTGCTTTTCGGAATGGGAAAGAGAAAAACTTTGCTTTTCGGAATGGAAAAAGAAAAACTTTGCACTCGGAATGGGAAAGAGAAAAACTTTGCACTTTCGGAATGGGAAAGAGAAAAACTTTGCACTTTGAATGGGAAAGAGAAAAACTTTGCACTTTCGGAATGGGAAAGAGAAAACTTTGCACTCGGAATGGGAAAGAGAAAAACTTTGCACTCGGAATGGGAAAGAGAAAACTTTGCACTCGGAATGGGAAAGAGAAAAACTTTGCACTTTCGGAATGGGAAAGAGAAAAACTTTTGCACTCGGAATGGGAAAGAAAAAACTTTGCACGGAATGGGAAAGAGAAAACTTTGCACTCGGAATGGGAAAGAGAAAAAACTTTGCACTGAATGGGAAAGAGAAAAACTTTGCACTCGGAATGGGAAAGAGAAAACTTTGCTTTTCGGAATGGGAAAGAGAAAAACTTTGCACTCGGAATGGGAAAGAGAAAACTTTGCACTCGGAATGGGAAAGAGAAAACTTTGCACTCGGAATGGGAAAAGAAAAACTTTGCACTCGGAATGGGAAAGAGAAAAACTTTGCACTCGGAATGGGAAAGAGAAAACTTTGCACTCGGAATGGGAAAGAGAAAACTTTGCTTTTCGGAATGGGAAAGAGAAAACTTTGCACTCGGAATGGGAAAGAGAAAAACTTTGCACTCGGAATGGGAAAGAGAAAACTTTGCACTTCGCCGGAATGGGAAAGAGAAAAAACTTTGCACTCGGAATGGGAAAGAGAAAAACTTTGCACTCGGAATGGGAAAAGAAAAACTTTGCACTCGGAATGGGAAAAGAAAAACTTAGACTTTTCGGAATGGGGAAAAGAAAAACTTTGCACTTTCGGAATGGGAAAGAAAAACTTTGCACTTTTCGGAATGGGAAAGAGAAAAACTTTGCACTTTCGGAATGGGAAAGAGAAAAACTTTGCTTTCGGTGATCATGGTCCTCCACATCTTTTATAGCTCTTAGTGTTTGTCTTTTTGATATATCTCCTAAACCATCTTCTGCCATCCATTTACGCAATATCACCAAGTAAATTATGCGTTGTTTTCCTCTGTTACTCTTGCCTTCAATCTGTCCTTTGAGTATCAGATTTTCCAAACCCTCTTTCCTCATTATGTGCCCTAGAAACTTCAACTGTCTTTCTGACACCTCTTCTTTATGTGCTGTGTCCCGTCAAGATGTAGGCGATCATGGCTCTCCACAATTTCCTGTCCTTTGTAGTCCTTAATAAATGTTGTCTTTTTGTTGTTTCTGCTAAACCCTATTCCACCATCCATTTACTCAAGCTCATTAAATAGGTTTTGCATTGATTTCCTCTGTCACTATTGCCTCCAATCAGTCCTGTGAATATCAGATTTTCCAAGTCCTCTTTCCTCACTATGTGCCCCAGAAATTTCAATTGTCTCTTTCTGACTCCTCATCTTCTTTATGCGCCACATATCCCTCAGGCCATAGACAATCATGGCTCTCCACAATTTCCTGTCCTTTGTATCTCTTAATAAATTATTAGATCTTAAGTATCCTTTTTGTTTCCATTTTTTTTCAAACTTTGTTACTCATGTTTATTCCATGGTATTCTCAGCAACTTTCTGTAGAACCAAATCATTATTGCCTCAAGTCTCATCTGTGAGAACTAAGTTAACTGTATATTTCTTTTTCATAAATATACATTTAGCTTAATCCTAGACTAAGCCTTATATTAATGTTCAGATATTGGGTCATGTAAATATTTTGAGAGGGCTCAAATATTTCTTCCTTCTCTCAATGTATACAGATATTTTTTATATATATATATATATATATATATATATATATATTAGTTTGTATCCGTTATCAATAACACATTTAAAAAAAGAAAAAAATTTTGAATCGCATTATATTTTTTTGTCTGTGATGCTACCTGAATTTTACCAAAAGCAAAATAACTTCCATGCCTGAAGATGACTGAATGTGCAGTCAAAAGTAGTTGCATATTTAAGAAAGACCTTATACAGCTTATAATTTTAAAAAACAAGGATCATAACATTCATCAAGTGATTAGTAGGTTAATGCATCTTTAAAGATTTTGTTAGGAAAGGGATTTCGCCATTTTATATCATTAACTTTAATAATCTACTTTTTTGTATGAATGATTCATTGTAATATATATATATGAGGGTCACAAACTTACATCTATCCAACCAAATATGTTAGCTCTATCTCTGACATTGAGCGCTTTCTAATAAGTACCGCGCATATAATATATAAATAATTATACATATATATATTTGTTTATATTTATATACACTTTTCACACACATATATATATATATATATATATATATATATACAATGCCTTTAAATTCCTTGGGGAAACATAGGGCTTCAAGATATTGCGGTTTCTGTAACAAACCAGTTTTTAAGTAAGTAGGTTGTTAGTCTCCTGCACAACCCCCACTCTGAAGGATCAGGTTTTGAATTCAGAGTTGTCCTTCTGCTAGACCAAGGCAATAGGACCTAGTCTGACCTGCTATTTACCCATAGCTGGGAGGAGAAGAGGATTCATATCTTTCCTCAAGGGTATTAGCACATCAGTGAATGTAACAGATTCGAGTGGAATTTGAACTCAGCTCTCCGATTCCTAATCCGAACCGCTATCTATTGTTCCACCATGCCTCCTCTTAAACAAAAATGTATTACATTTAATTATAAAAATGAGAAGTATTTAAACTCTGCCTCTTCTTAGTCAGTAAATTTTCATTCTCTTAGCTTTATATATATTAAGGAGAAAAAAACCCACAAAGACTGTCAACTTACTTCTTCATCATTAAACATGGCTTTTTTAATGACTTTCATGGCATAAATACGCTTGGTAGTTTTCTGCTCGACCATCAGCACCTTGGCATAGCTGCCACGTCCAATCACTCGGAGAAGCGTAAAATCATCCAAAGATATCTGGCCTTGCTCCATTCCTGGAAGCGACTGTCAAAAGATATGAAAATGTATATTAATCATAGAAGCTCATAAGAAAAATGTCAATAATATATTTTTCTATAACTTTGAAAACTTGTCATTACCATTTCAAATTTTGGTAAAACAAAAAAATTCCATCTTTGTGCTGTTTACACTGTTACCACAAATCTTTCAGATGTCTTCAGGTGTATAATTAGCAGGAAAAAACAGTAATAATAAAAGCGACATCTCTCTTCCCTCATAAAAAAAATTTATACCACTGAAGAAGGTTGGAGAATAAATAGGCTGAAATGTTTGAGTAATAACAACATAAAAAAAAAAAAAAAAAAAGAGTTCTTTTGTCCAAAGTTTAGAAGTTTATTTCGCTCACTGGGGTAGACTTTTCTAGTTCCACATGCCATGTTTAATGGATGTCAGTTATCAGTTATCTCTTGTTAATTTCCCCCTGAAAGTTCTCCACTGCCTTAACCAGGTATTGAACTCACACTCTTTGGGTTCTGTCACTGGATCTAACCAATGCCTTTATCCACTGTGCCATGTATCCTTGAGAACAGTCTACCCCAGTGAGCAAAACAAAGGGTTCAGTTCGACATTCCAACCACCTGAAGAAGGCAGGAGTGTACAATGGCCGAAACGTTGTGATAAATATGGCGAGAAAGATGAGGACAATAGTCTGAATAATGTAAATAATGTACATAATACCTCATCTCAGAAATATAGACAAAAACATATATGCATGCATGGAATTAAAAATATAAAATGGTGACAATTCACCCATTCCACACTGTACAGCGATGATGACCGGTCTACAAACACTTTTGTTAAATGGGAATTGACCCCACAAGAAGATTCATTTGCCCTTCAACAGTTCTTGTTTCTAATCCTGCTGGGTGTTTAGCCACTCTCCCCACTAAAAAAAACTAGTGAGAAAACCAGTTTAACACCCCCACCAATGACCTGACTATGCAAAAGGTGGTACTGGGTTACATCATGCCAGTAACAATGACAGGATATGTGATCATTTTTTTTTGTTTTTTCACTGGTTTCATTTACTTCTTGCAGTTTGCACTGACATGCTCACATAAGTGTCCCTCCAGGTCTCCTGAAACTGATTGCACCATCTTGACCCGTGACAGCACCCAGACTTCTCCATTATTGATTAATCAGTTTTTCAAAATATGTTTTGTCACTAGATACACACTTAGGATGTAACTGTTTATATAGAGCTTTTTTTTTTCTGATTTTAGTAGATGATTCAAATTTTTGTCTATGATTTTCTTGATGAATGTTTGTTGCATGCAATTTGATTTTTGTGCACAGAACACATTTGCTGTTGTAACCGTACTTCTACGGTGTTATAAAACTTGCCTGTTGTTGACACACACATATATATATATATATATATATATATATATATATATATATACACACATTTTTAAGACACCATGAAATGTCAGTGCTTCACTTTAGTATTATAAATTAATTATTTCCAAGTGCTATTTCCAAATCAGCAGAAGCATATAGTAACACAGAATACACTGTTTTATGCCATTTTGTATGTTGGGAACAAAATGGGCCGGCACAGCCAGGCAACAATACTATAACAATGCAGTATGGAAAGTTAATATTATGCTTGTTTTGTTTCACAAATCAGTATTTGGGATTCATCCATGTGGCTGAAGTATCTTAGAAATACAATAAGTAAAATTCAAACATTCAATACATGACAAAATATTAAATACTAATAATAAAATGGTCAGTACCTCAATTTTGGCGACCTTTTAGAGTTGATCCAAGATGGCAATAAATGTTGTGAGTAACCACACCATGCAGAAAAAAGGAAAAAGAAAAATGTTAAATCAACAGAAAACAAGAAACAAAAAGAAACAAAAAACAAACTCTGCTATTGTTCCACTTGAGGAATTTGGTTATTTGGAGAAATTGGTCAGAAAAGTCTTGCAAAAAGAATTCCATGCTGAATTTAATTTCCATTCTAACCAATGAAAATGATTTTGAGTTGACATTTAAAAAGTGAATATATTATCATGCACAAATTTGTTCATATTTTAACATGTATAGAAGAATATCAAGAATATAATATTGACCAGAATATAAGACATTTAAAAGAAATCCTTAGGAATTCAGTCAGTTTCAATCAAAAAGAATCAATATGTGTACGAGACCATTTATGAAAAATATTGATTTTTATATCATAACTGATCAGAAGTATAGGACACTGAAAAAGGAATGATCTGTAATATAAATTGGTCATTAATGAAATGCCTTAAATCCAGAATTTATTTAAATCAGTTTCAAGAAAGGATGTATACATTATGCAAATTAAAAACTTATATCATTAAAAAAAAAAAAAAAAAAAAAAAAAAGTATAAAAGATTTCCACTTTGATAGTTAAAATTTTATTCATATTCTATGCTTTCTTCCTATTCATCTTATAAATGGGTTTTGTCTTTAATAAGCGTAAATTTCAAATCCACTTACAGGCAGCCACCAAGAAAAATGAAATCTTTTTTTTCAAAAAAATTATATTAACAAGAAAGTGTGATAGATATAGAGACAGACAGACAGACAGATAGAGACGGAGACAGATAGATACAGACAAAGAGAGAGAGAGATAGATACAGACAAAGACAGAGAGAGAGATACAGACAGACAGACAGAGAGAGAGAGAGAGACAGACAGACAGAGAGAGAGATAGAGACAGACAGACAGAGAGAGAGATAGAGACAGACAGACAGAGAGAGAGATAAGTATTGTCCATTCAGTGCTGGTGGTAATAAAACAGTGCAGCTAAAACTTATACTACTAATAAAAATACATTTACATAACAAACAAACAGTCTAGTCATCTGAAAGATTTGTACATACACATATTTATTCTTATATAGAACTGACAATATTTCTTGGGCATTTTTTTTTTTTTTTTTGTATTTTATAAAATTAAATAAGCTAAAATGGAAATTCAGAGCCAATTTAACAGGGAAAAAATGAATAACAAATTTTGCACTTTATTTTTTTAAAATTCAAAATGCTCTCCATTTTAAACCTGCAAAGCATTTCTACAAAACATTTTTTAATTTGTTATCCACAAAAAAACAAGGGGCAATAAAGTCAAATAAAAAAAAAACAAAAAAACTACCGAATATAAAGATTCACAAACAACACACAGAATACAAAATACTTTTAATTTCATGCAAGACATTCCTGTCAAAGTTTATATTTTAAAATTTAATTCTAAAAACAAGGAAACAAAAGTTTATGTTAACGCCTGCACATTATGCTAAATTACATCAAAATCTTACCAATGGTGTTGTCAGTTTGTATTTAAACCATACAGCACATTGAGAATGATGATACTGCTTTCGTCCTTCTTTCAAACCATTAGCTTGTGAATTATAAGCATTTAATGGATGTCTGCTTGAATGTTAGTGATAATAATTGCTTATTCCTTCTTAGTATGTGGGTAATTTTTAGTAAAAAGCAAATTAGTTGCAGTTTTCAAAAGTACAAACAGTTACAATTTATAGACAACTCTCCATTCTTCATCATTTGAATAGATTTCTTGCATCAATAATGTGCAGAGATAAAACACTAGAAGCAATAAAATAAAAAATATGAAATGGAAGAATCTTGAAGGATTTTGTACTTAGGACATCACTAGAGTTTTTGAATGTGGCAATTCTTACTTATTTATTGATTATGTTTTAATTGATTATCTTTGCAGTACTGTATTCAGTTCTGTGTCTGTGATCACAAGAAAATGGTCATTTTATTTGATCTACAGTAATCAATGTTGCAGAGCGCAATTTGTTAATATCAAGCTTGGAAAAATTCTAAAAGGAGACAATAGATCAGTTCATAGAAACATCTTGGAAAAAAAAGTTTTTTTTTTCTTCTCAAAGGATGAATTTACTTAAATTTTGAACTCAAATAAGATTTAAAATGTAAAGTTTTGCAAAATCACTTTAATGAACATTTAGAGAGGAATAAGGAAGTTTAAAATAATTTACAATTAATAAAATATACAGGGTGCTGCAGAAATACTGCCAAGATATATATCTCAAAAATATCTGCCACTTGATGGCAAGATATTAGTGGCTATATATATATATATATATATATATATATATATATATATAAAAAGGCAGGATGTGTGTGTGTGTAATGAATGCACGGCCACAATTTTCAACAGATTTGCACCAAAATTTATATGCACATGCTCCAAGTTAGCGGGAAGGCCAAGACTGACTTTGCATTTCCCTACTCCCATCGATAGTGGAAATAATCGATTTTTTCATGCTTCTACGGCAGTTTTCATGTAGTTTGCAGCCATTTCGTACAGGCCAGAGTGAGAGGCCTATAGCTGGCTGCCACGAATAGCCAAGAAGATTCTATTGGCCAGTGTGAGAGCCAACAGCTGACTGACACGAATGTTAACTAGCATGCTAGCATGCAAAAAAAAAAAAAAAAAAAAAAATCAATAGCTGCATTCGTCACAAGTGAGAAAAATTTAAATCTGCATGGCACTTTACTCCATTTGGCTCATTCGCTTGCTTAAACTCAACGTTGATTCTGATTCCGCAGAATTGGGTTGGGTGTGAAAAAGTATTTGTTGTTAACATTCTTTTTTCATTCGGTTTTTCCAGTTACGAGTCCTTTTTTAAAAGTGATCGTTTTGTGTTCATTTTGTTTAGTTCTTTTTTCATAACAGATTTAATGTTTAGTATAGAGCTTAGAAAAAATTTGCAGTGTGAGATAGGCAAGAAGTAAGGCATGTAGCAACATCAGCATGGCAAAGGGCACTCCTTTAAAGGCAAGGAAGGGCAAAAATATTTTAAGTCAAGTGATAGCAATTGCTGTACAAGCCGTACGATTTTTGAATCAAGCACAGGCAACGCCGGGCCATGCTGCTAGTGTGTGTGTGTATATATATATATATATATATTTTTAATTTTGCACATGTGCATTATTTGTTTTTAATTTCGTCAACTGCACAGTAAAGTCAGTTCGTCAAGGAGCACCATGACACAATTCACTCTACCAGAAATTTAGAAACAGAATTCTGTACTGCTTAGCATTGGTACCAGGAGCTCCAAAATGAACATTTCAGAGTATTTGGATGTCAATCTGAGGACAGTACTGAGGATATGGAATTGGCTGGAATAGTCTAATGACAATTACGAAAATGTTTGGAGTGATCACCAATGATCGCAACTTTATGCCTCCATTCATTTTCCTACAGGGCCTCAGAATCAACACATAGTGCCTTGAGGAGGTAGTGTTGCCCTGGGTCAAGAGGGTGGCTGCTGAAAACCCTATCTCTGGGGCAGCAGGACTCTGCACCATGCCACAGGTAGGAGAACCCAGTCATGGCTCTCAAACAATTTATGTGACCACATCACCCCTTACATCTGGCCACCTAACTCCTGAGACTGAAACCCCATTACTATGCGTGGGGTGAAGTTGAGCAAGAGACCAACAAAACTACTTTTAACATCAAAGACCGACTGAAGGCAAGAATTATGCCATCATTCACCAACTTAATCAAGGAGATCATTCAGAAGAGTTGCAGGAGATACCAAAATCATCCGGAGGCTGTGGTTGAAGCCAATGGCGATTTTATTGAAAAAATTTACTCTTTAGTATTTCAAGATATTTTTGTATAATTTTGATAAATATATCCATTAATGTCAGTGTTATTTTCATTTTTGCATAATTTAGACAATTTATCCATCACAACACACATATATATATATATATATATATATAAAATATTTGGGAATCAATCTCTCTTTTATACAAGTCTTAAAAATCGACTGACAAGGTACTGTGTTTAAGTTTACTTAATTTTTCTTGTGTTCTTATAATTTTCTTCTTTTCTGGAGATAAATTAAGTAAAAACTGTCCAAATATTTTGTATATCCAGTGCTTTCATCTCTACATTTAGCCATTATCAAGGATGATTTTATTTTTGCTTTTAACAATGTATTTTAACTCTAGATACATACATATAACAATCCATACATTCAGTTAAAATTTGAAAAAATCATCCTTGATAATGGCAAAAGTATAGCTGAAATTGCTCGGACATACACTGGCTCAATTCTTAATGATTATTAAAATTTAACTGTATTAGTATGTAATCAAAATAAATTTTATCATTTACTGTCCACCTGCTTTTGATTCACCCTCTGTGTGTATATATAAAGTTTCTCCATAAAGCAAAATAAAATATCTTTGTAAAAAAAAATAAGACTAAAGATCCAAATGAAAAATAAATTATTTTTAAAAAAGTGGGTGCTTCACAAACAATGGTTCACATGCAATTTAAAAACAACACAAAAACGAGGTGATCATTGCTAGACTAATTCCATGTTTTCAATGCAACTTGGAGGTAAAACTTGCATAAAAAAAAATATATCAAACATTTTTATATAAAATCATTTTTACTTATTCAAAATAAGACTTTAAAAACGAAATAATATTTTGTAGCAACTTTTTCAGTGGCTGTTAATTGTGTCAAGACACACAATGAGGGGGGAATGTGGATAAAAATGGTCAAAAGGGGCTTTGAACTCACAACTAAACCTGGTCAAATAAAGAAGATTGTTCCTGAACCAGTAGCATTTGAACCCCACAAACAGCAACTTCATTGGTGTTTCTTATATGCAATGTGAAGCCAATTTTTATAAAAATTATATATCCAGTCATTCTCAGGATTGTTAATCATGATTATGATAAAGAAAAGCGAAGCAATGGCACAGGCAGTCAAGCATAAAAGCAGCAGTAGGCTGGCAATAAGAATATTAAGTTTAAAGCACCAAGTTCCAGGTTCAAGACAGTCCTACAGGACAATAGCCTCATGAATTTGATGGCATCGTAATTGTGATTTCAATCCCTGGGTTGGATAGGGCATATTCAGACTCAGTGAAAACGGGGAGAGTAATAACCAAGCAGTATTAAATGAAGACAAGATGTCCCTATATATGAACAGAACGAGAACACACTACTCTGGCAGATGGAAGGTTTCAATTTAAAATTCTCTGAGAGTTATCCAGATTGACAGACACCTGAAGAAGGAGACCTCAGTGCACAATGGCTGAAACATAAGGACATTAATCCAAATGTAAGTAATGCAAATAATGAAGAAGTAATTGAAAAAAAGGGAAATTAATATCAAAGTAAAATATTTAAACTGAGAGAGTGTGATAAAAGATTTTGGTTTTAAAAGCAAATACTTTAAAAAAAAAAGAGATTTTTTTTTTAATTATAAATTTACAAAAAAAAAAAAAAAAAAAAAAAAATTGCCCCTCCCCCACCTTCATTAGTTGGAAACTGATAAAAACAAAAGAAAGCACCTGGAATATGTAATCAGAGTCAAGATCATAAAATTTTGGAGTTGATAAACCAGATAACAAAAGTAAAGGTTGACAGAGCGAAGTAAGTTTTCGGCGTTTTCAGCCAATACTATATATGTACATACACACACACACACACAATCTATTGCATAGAGGGCATGCATACAATAAAAGATATTATGTGCAAAAGTTTTCAGTATCTTTTTTTTAATTATATTATATATAATTTTCTACTGTATATTCAGTTACAAGATTTCCAAAATGATAGCATACAAAACATTTGCACATAGCTTATTTTAAGATATGGAAGGACAAAGGAAAACAATTTCTAACATACCTAGCAAGCTTGAGTAAATGAATGGCAGATCAAGGTTTTGGAATGATAACAAAAAGACAAAATTTAT